ACTCATTTCTCACTCTATGGCATACACACTCATCTGAAACAGCAGACTGGAAAGCATAAAGTAAAAAGAACAGGGAGTGCTTTCAGGTGATATGAAATGGGACGTTAGTAACGAGCCATTTTCACCTAGTTTCTTTAACCATTAATTAAAATGATAAGGAGGTCCACAGCAGAAAAAACAATGCGACCGATATAACTAAGTGCCCCAGTGAACGGTACCGTACCCTCATGTTAGGCCATGATTTGAATACCATCAGCCTTCTTCTAACTGCTAACCAGAAGCTTGGAGGTCGTCGAATCTCATCACCACGAACATCAATTTTCTCTTTTTTGTATGTCTCTAGTCAGTCTTTGAGTGGCCGCAGTCCTCTGCCTAGAAACACACAACACTATTTGATAAATCATAAATGAACCTAAAATATATTATTAGTTGCGAAGGCAAATATCGTACACTAAGGAAATCCATTCAGTGGCATGCGTAACACATGCCCCAACTGCCGCAATGTATGGTAATTAAGCGACTGCGTTAAAGCGTGTTCTCAACCATCTCATGCTTTTCACATAACCTCACCCGTCTGCTTCACCACACTTGAAGCTTGTCATCGATTAGACAGAAAACGTAAAAACCCTTTGCATACCGTCCATCTTCCACCTCCATTCACTCATTCGAAAGTCGTATAAAAACCACACCCATCATGCCTCCCGTCACGCAAGTGGAAAACATCCATAATGATGCATTATTATCAATTAGTCTCAGGCAAACGGGGGCTGTGCTTAGTGTCAGTTAAACTATGAAAAGCTAATGTACATTTTATCCAGCAAAACAGTTCTCTTTTCCTCCGAATCTCGGATGTGTATTGTATTGTATTGCGCTGAAGCTTATGATATAGTGATAGAAGTAGTTTTATTCAAATAATTCCACGGGGTTTGTTGATATCTTCATAAAAGACGTGAGAGGAACTGTGTACGTGCACCTTGAACAGAGAAAAAAGCGAACCAAGTGCTGTGCCAGTAATCGGACGGTTCACGTTAGAAATATAGGGTGCTGTATAATGTTGTTGGGCGGTGGTAGTCAAGCGGTGAAGATGACCACCTCAGAAAACCGGAGACTGAGTTCAAATGTGATCACCGCCACCCGACTTTTCTCCTGATTGTTGTCATCAGACAGCGCCTGATAGAGTGCGAACCCTCTCTGGAAGTTGATTGTAGAATTGAATATATTTGTAGGAAGAAAGAGTATTATTATTAACAGTAACGATATTGAGAAAACTCCGATACCTGTAGGAAACAAAAGATAAACTGGGCTTTTTAATGGTTGCTTGGACAAATCAACGCAATCAATCAAGTTGTGTTAACCATCCTGACAAGTGGGAGATAAACAAAAGATCGGAGAAGCCGAAAACAATATTCCGAAAGCACAAGCGCGCACACAAGCAAAAAACCGTTGTTCTCGTCAAGAAACTCGATAATGGAAAAACGTTTTCCTCGCCAATTCAAACACCGAACGAACAGTGAGATAGAAATACGTGCTGAACGGATCAGTTCAGTTTCAGTCTGCACAACCATTACCATGCACTATCGTGCGCCGATGTTGGTTGCTATCTTTCGGCTACCCATTTGGATGAACATTAGGAGAAAGACAGGAAAGGTTGAAAGTAGGATCGAAGAGAAGATTGAGAAGTGGATTAATGATACAGAGAGATTGAGAAGATGCACGAACGCCACCGTTTACGACACCCTGCCATATCACTCAGCGTCTCCAACCATCGGGTACGACCATCCCGAGGTCCCCATCCAGGGAGCCTAACGAGACCTGTGTGCTGAACGGATATGAAGTGGCGGCGCGAGCGTCTGGGCAACTGCACTGTAGAATAGCTTTAGTGTTTGCCAAGTTGTGCGAACTGATCATGTGGCTAAAAGCCACATACAAGAAAGATGTAGCAATTTGGTTCCATCTCAGCATCGGGTACATTGCAATTAGAAACTCCGACTGACATGAACAGATATCGCGAATAATGATTTTTCAGCTTTCATTAGTTTACCGTGGAGACTTGGAGTGAACCACATGAGGTACAAATAGCATGAACTTGATATCAAACCGAACGATAACCGAGCTTTAGACTACCATTATTACTGTTATTATTGTTGTTGTTGTTCTTATTATTATTACTAAGGAATAGCAGTTCAAATCACAGCACTTAGTTGCTATGTTGGTCCCGAAGAAATGAAATGAACTACACCTAATACCTAGTGCCAAACAACGTGGAGATGTTTTTATTCCCACGCTTCAGTTGAATCTGAAGTCTTCACACTTTCGCTAGAGTCTTACGGAGGGAAACCGAACTTTAAAAACTGAACCTGGCAGATAAATATGAATAACGATGTGTACATTTTGAAAATGAATGCATGGTGAAGTTAATTGCGTTTTTTCTGTGACTATAGTCATATTTTCGACCGGAGCTCAATTTCAATGACGATATAAATTAGAGTACTTCCCGGGTTATGAAAACCAACAATCTGCATAAACCATGCGAATTGCAGGACCTAGTAAGATGATTTATCAACTCCCACGAAAAACCAGTAACGAATAGGATTACTGTTACTTGATTATTTGGAAGACTGGCCCACAATCCATGGAGACGAGCGAAATGTTAGTTAGGCTCCAACGAGAACGAAACTCTAACAAGACTAACGAAGTTGAATTAGGCATAAAAGCTACGATATATTGCCACATAGTTAATAGTTTATTTTATTGCGTAAGCCCACAAGAATATGCTGGAAGCACGAGATCAGAGCAAAATAAAGAAAAGATAATGATTCACAAATGCTGAGTCTCGTGCCCAACTTTGATCCTCGCATTCTAATTCGTTAATTTTCGAGAACATTGTTGTTATTTCGTAGGTACTTAACGGTGGTGGCTCGGTGGTCACCGAATCATCGCCCCGGAAAACGTATGTTCAAATCAAACCAAAAGCACCTGATTCTCCTCATTCTGTTGTACGGCAGCACTTTGATTGGCCGCTTCCCCTTTTCTGTAAAGTTCATTATTATATATTCAACAAGAGGAAATGAATATGAAGAAAATGAACCACAAAGTGAATTTCTTAAGTTCTTAGTTCAACTAGCAAATAAAAGCTATCCAGTTCGCCCCCATTCGAAATTGTTTATCCCTTCTCTCTTCACACTATTGAAAATCTTACTCATGGTTTCCAAGTAAACCCCGCTGTTGAGTCAGGCAACCTATTCTGTGGTGAAGCCTCGACCAGTCCGTCATTCTCTTCTTGATCGTGTTTAGCTTGAGGCTATCCGTCTTATCCAAATGGGTACCCAAGACTTTAGGGCACGGCATACTTCGCGGTAGCCCACACC